CCCATTCTTCTCCCCAACTTCCCTGTCTCTCTACACTGTATAACTGTCAAATAAAGGGAAAATTCCCCAAAAAAAAATCTTTAAAAGAATGCGATGTTGCACAGCTTATTGCTTAGTGAGCCTCACAACTCAATTTGTGAATCTATGCCGTTTCACGAGCTACTTGAGCACAGAATTTATAAAGACGTAGGCCTTTGGTAATTTACGTCATAATTTATGTGTGAAAGGAAAACCCCTCATAATTTCTTGGTGCAATGTATAACAATGCTATCGAAAATAAATTTGTCCTTCTACCAATTCGTATGAGCAACTGCTGATCAAGAAAAGTAAACTGTGAAAGGTTTAAGTCATTAAGCTTTGAAGGGCGAGGTTTTGGCTTCCCTTTGTTACGGCCGACGAACCGCCACTGAGTTTTAGTGGCATTTACGTTCCCCTGCTGTAGTCTGCAATTGAGGAGTCGACTTGCAAACCTGCTAAGTCAAGTTTTGAAAATAAATAAGTCATCTCCCTTAGCCTCTCTTTGTCAGGCACCTTCGCATGTCCCACTGATAGCTCCACTTTCAAAACCTAATAGATCATGTTATAAGTTGTAACGGAAAAAGCAAAACTCTGTCCAAACCCGCCAAGTCAAGGAGGAAAACTGCCAAATTCCGCTAAGTCATCAGCCAATGTGGAAACATGATTCCGTTTTCATTCGCTAGAAGGAACCAATCACAGTCGCGCTTTTATAGCCTGTTCAGCTTGTGGGTTTTAGAACATTGGGTTCTAGTTTGTTGGTTTGGGCAGTTCAGAAAAGTGTGATCACAAGGTCAGGATGTTCTCTTTCTCTCTTAACTTTATGTGTTCTCAGGAAAAGGAGTACAAGGAGAGCCTGGGACGCCAAAAAGATAAGCCCAGGAGATGATAAGAAGAAAGCACCTGTCTTCTCTGAGCTGTATGCGCATACCTCAGGGTCGGCTTGATGTGGGCTGCGTGCATCTGCAAGAACATTCCAGTTAACACCATGATGTGTAAATCAGTTCAGGGGGAGGAGAATGTCAAAATGTACTCTTACTTATACACCAGCAAGAAAGAATTTTCTTTGTCCTTGCTCTTGCCTGTAACGAGAGTTCTCGCCTGTAGCGGGGATCCTATTTTGCTGCAAAATAATAAACACGGATATATCTTATTCTCTCTGCCTCCGTCTGAGTTCTTCTTGAGAAGGTAATACCAGGGGTATAATACCAAAAATCCCACAACAGATAGTGATACCATAAAAGGGGGATTTGAACCCATGGACTCATGTTTATGTTGTCATTGTCATAGCCGCTCTTCAACCACTGTGCTGTCTGTAGCATTGAGTTGCATGTAGAGTGGGTCCTGAGTCAAATACCTTCACCTATTGAACAACGGGGCTGGTTTAAACACTGTCAAAACCTGCTAAATTTCCACTCCACTTTCAAAACCTGCTCAGTCAAAACTTTGTGTTGCAAAATCAAAGTCAATTCTTAAAAAAAAAAAAACAAATTGCCTCATGGATTATGTTTGCAAGGCTAATCGTTTCAGGATAGTGAAAATTGGTATCTATGGAAGATAATTTCTATGCCTACCAAAAAAGTCAGATTTTTCTAAAAAATGGACCAAGTTGACTTAGAAGCCCCAATTATTCAATCAACGCATATTTAAGAGATACTCACACGGAATTGAAGTCCTTGTGCATGGAGGTTTATCAGTTTCAGCCACGTTATGACTCCGAACTTCTCACACTTTTGTTCACTCAGGGGTTGGAAGCAATGCATGTGTTGCATGATCGTTTAAATTGTTTAAATGAAATAAGATCATTGGAAGCAATGGAATTGCTTAAAGACGTTTCAAATGATCTTATGGTAACAGCTAGAGGGTATTGGCTCTAGAGTTGTTTGTGAGGTCTTTGCATCTATATTTAACCCCTCTGCATAAATGTAGATGCCAGTGGACATAGAGCTGCTTTATTTATGCACGCAGTTACTCTATTCTATCACTAGATGGCAAACCCAGATCAGTTATTGAATATTCACTGGCAAGCCAAGTTTAGAATATGGGCGAGCTAAGTCTCATCCCTGTTTTCCAGGAGTTCCATGAATTAAACTCCTCTGGTAACCTGAGGTGCAAACTGCTCAATATACTTGCCCATAGTATCTATGCAGCAGTTAAAAAAAAAGATCTCTTTCAATGAAAGAAATTGTTGTCCTTTGTGGCAACCACTTAAGCTATTGTGAGCCAATGGTATCACAATTACATAATAAAAAAAAAAGTTTTCTGAAGCAAAAATTCACCATGGTATTGATACTATGAAATTCTACTATCAATTATAGTCATCACATATTAAAAACACGTAATTCCTTACCGTGGATTCACGCGTATATCTGTCTCTCGAAGAATTCAGCTGATTTTTAGAGCTTCACACAATGCCTCACGGAAATACAGCCATTTTATTGGATATTCAGGCTTATTTACGTAAATCACAGCTATAGTTCACGCCCACATGAAACTCTCCCGGTAATTACCTATTGATTGACACGGTTTTTTTTTATATCCTATTCCAGACAGTATAAGCTTTCCTCAGTTCTGATAGGACCACTTTATCAAAAAGAGAACATTTATTGAAAGCATACAGGCATATTAGCATACAGGCATACATTGGGTTTGATGACATGGCTCTGTTCTGAGAGATCCCTGCCCATCCAAGCGTGGAACCGAAGGCAGGGAGCTGCTGCTAGCCCCCCTCCATAGAACAGAGCCTACAGCAACAATGACCTCAAAAGGAAGAGACATTGTTTTCTGAACGGTAATTTCGTCACTAGAGAACATAATCAATGCATGATATAAAAGACAGGTGGAGCTGGGGTAGAGGAGGGTTGCTGAGCTAGCGCGCCGAGGAACAGTTACTCGGGAAGGCAAACTTAAATAAGCCCAACATAATACCGGCTAAGCAATCATGTGATGCGAAGTCAGATGACAGTCTAATGCACTCAGGTGACTCTCCAGGAGGTAGCACCTCCTACATTAAGCAAGCTTGACTCCATGGCCTATCAGAATTTCTGTCATAGCTCCATTTCTGATAGGACCACTTTGTCAAAATGATAACATTTATTGAAAGCATACGGGCATATTGGCATGCAAGCATACATTGGGTTTGGCGACGTGGCTCTGTTCTGAGAGATCCTTGCCCGTCCAAGCATGGAACTGAAGAGAGGGAGCTGCTACTAACCCCCCAAACAGAACCGTGCTGGGCATAGGCTAATTTGAATGCAGAATAAATTATGAAGTGTTCAATGTGTAGTGGCAGCCCGGCGGCCAGCACAATTTCTCTTGATGCCAATACAAGAGAAATATCCTAAGCTAAGTAAACTATATGTAATGACAGCCCGGCGGCTGGCACGATCTCTCTTGATGCCGATATAAGAGAAATATACCATGTGAAAGTGTTCCATATAGTAACAGCCCTATGGCTGGCACAATTTCTCTTGAAATGAATTCAAGAGAAATATATTACGAGTGTACTCTGTGTAGTGGCAGCCCTATGGCTGGCACAATTTCTCTTGAAGCCAATACAAGAGAAATATACTATATGAAGTGGTCCCATGTGTCGTGGCATCCCGGCGACTGGCACGATTTCTCTTGAAGCCAATACAAGAGAAATATACTATATGAAGTGTACTATGTGTAGCGGCAATCCACCAGCTGGCACGATTTCTCCTGATGCAAGTAAAAGAGAAATATACTATATGAAGTGTGCCATTTGTAGTGAAAACCTTGCGGCTAGCATGATTTCTCATTATTTCTCTTACAAGAGAAATATACTATATGAACGATTTAGTGAACTATTATCTGAAGTGTTGGATAAACTTTAGAGATAGAAAAATGGTGAGCTTAGCTGGGCTGAATGTCATGTCATGTTATGATTTGTTCTATGTGTAGTGGCATCCCAGTGGCTGTCAGAATTTCAGTTGAAGCTGATTCAAGAGAAATATGCTATAAAGTGTATTGAGTAGAGACAGCCTGATGGCTGGTACAATTGTTTGAAAGAGAACTTGATACCTTTATCATGAGTTGTGTAGTGGTGGATAAGTTGGCATGAGCTATGCAGGGTCACTGGACGACCTGCCCATGTGAAAGAAAGATCTTCTATGCAATGCATGAGGCGGTAGTGAGTGCAAAAGGGTCTGGCCAAGCGAAAATGAACATGTGTGATGAAAATTATATTTTTTGTAACACATAGTGAATGGGCTGATCTTGTAGCTTAATCTGCCTAGTTTATGGAACTAACTTTGTTTTTTCAATACACAATGTGAAAAAAATTACAGCCATTTAAAGTGCATGAAGTTTGAAAACTACAGACACACTCGGAAATCTATTTTTCGCATAATTTTCATCTCAACAATAAAATATCTAAAACTGCATAAAATTTACGTGTTTCTACATTTAATACCTTTTACTATTCATATTTTTCAGCATCTGTAACAATTTTTGCCAAATGCAAATTAAACATATGTTTTTTTACTCTTAAAAAGATGTTGCATTATGACCATATAGATTGCTGTCATAACTGACTTAAGTAATAATTATGTATATCTGTGATACAGAATGTTTCTTTTATAATAAAAGTATGTTATGTCACCTATTTTAGTTCTTTTCTTGAAATAAACCTTACTTTTTCTCATGAACATCTAGTTCTGTAGTGATGTAACCAATACAGCTTGTAATGACGTAACCATATTCTTTTCCCTATTAAATCTAAGAAATTCCATATTTTGCTACAATTTTTTGCTGAGAACATAGTTTAATAGGTTTATTACAATATTGAAACCAGGTTGACTCTAATTTGTAATGAGAATAGCATGTTATGCATCTTTGCATACACCTTGTCAAATCTTTTTTTTTTTTTAGATTTTTTTTGGGATTTTCTCTTTTATTAGACAGTTGTATAGTAGAGAGTGACAGGAAAGCTGGGGAGAAGAATGGGGAAGACATGCGGCAAATGACCCGAGCCGGAATCGAACCCAGGTCGCCACAGGAAGGACACAGCCTTAATAGTGTGCGCGCTTAGACCGGTGAGCCACCGGGGCGCCCACACCTTGTCAAATCTGATGTCCTCTTTTGATAGTACCGTAACTGAGCACATTTTTGCTAATTTCACATTTAAAAATTATTCTAACAATCCATTGAGTATACCATGTTAAAGTACTTGTAAAAACCTTTAGAAACATGTATTTCAAGTTTATATAAGTTTTCTGGTTAAAAAGTTATAGCCCAATGAACATCAAAATTGTAGTAACGTAACCGCCTGGCCAGACCCAAAGATGAATGTAGAGCCACTACGTGCGAGACAACTGCCATGTTGTCATATGCTTTAACTTAATACAAGAGAAACCTTTTGTTTAATCAGAATTGCACACTTAAAAAATAATAAAATATTGCCACAGTGCACTTCGGTAAACCCTGGCCTGAATCTCCTCAAAAGCAAGCCAATGGCAACAGCGGCAAGGAAAAACTCCCGATGTGAATCAAAATAGGAAGAAACCTTGGGAGGAACCAGGCTTAAGAGGGGTAGTCCATCCTCCTCTGACCAGCCCAGTTCATGGTTGCCATTATGCGAAACAGTCCATTTGACAAGTAGTCCAGGGTTTGTAGTTTGCTGGATAGACGCCATGGACCAGACTGTTCCGATGGTGGAGACTGGGCAGCACTTGGGCAGAGGGTCAGATGGCGATGGTGGCGAAGACCAGCAGCAGCATGCTCAGGGCAGGGCCCAACCGCAGACATGGAGGGAACACAAAACCAGGCAATTAGTGGAGAGCAGCAGGTAAAAGCAGTGCTGGGGATATACCATGAGATAATATTGTGTACTCAATAAAGTTGATATAAAAATAAAAATACCATGATTGCAAAATATGAAGATCATTCGTGAATCTGAAAGCTGCTAGAATCCCCCAAAACCAATGATGCAGGGATAACCAAAGACCAGAGGCTAATGACGGCGTGCCTTTAGAGGCAGAGACTATGTGGTCTTTATGGCTTTAAGGTTAACGAACTAGCACAGTTAAAGGCTATAGGACATTCTGAGCAGGCAGATACAAACCATTTTGAATGAAATGATGGGCAAGTGACCAAAGCACAAGCTAGCTGGCTAATGTGGGGTAAATATTGGTGAAGTATCAGCAACATGTCGCCACACCTTGGCATTGCTGAGCGTGTGCAAGATCAGTCACATCTTGAGGACGTGAGTTTGAAGTTGTCAAGCAACCCAAGGCTTACTTGCCCAGCAAGTGATAACTTGTACAGCAATCATACTTCTACCCAAACTAGGGTACTAGTGCGTGTACAATGATGCAAAGACATTACTGCCAAATTATGGGGAAAACATGGAGCTCTGGCAATTGGAAAGGTAATGCAAATATGATAGCAATTCATTTACAAACAAGGATGAGTATGACCTGCTTGATAAAGAAATTCCAGTGCCAACTGGAATGACTACTTTGAGTCCTGGTCGTTCCACAGCATTAGGAAGAACTCTTGGTTGGAGCCACATCCACTATTTATTTATTTTTTTTAAACAATTGCTGAGCGCTTCAGTTGCTAGCATTTGTTGTGGGTTTGTCATGAGGTGTATGCGATGCAATTTGCAAACTGTTACCTTAACAGGACCCTGCTACCAATGGCAGCACCTGCTCGGGATAGACAAATAACTAACAAAGGAGTAGTTGCAGCATGACTATTGGAAGCAAGTAGGATTCAAGCAGCATAACAGCAATTGACTTAAACATTCATGGCGATCACCATTTGGTCCAGTCATTTAACAGCAGTAAGGCAACCATCATCTGAATAATGCTTAATCCATTTTCAGCCACGGTTATTCAAATTATGGAATTATGAAAATTAACATGAACAATTTCCTGTGCCAAACATACCGTTGCTGAAAGCATTAATGAGAAACCAATGGCTTTAAAAGAATATGAGTGAGAAATTGCACTTTTTTTTAAAGAAATATATAAATAGACAAATCGAACAGCAGGCAATGCTCAATACACTCTCCACTTGTATAACGATCGTAAGCGCCAAGACACAATAGGACACAAAGCACCATGCGGAACATCAGATGACAAACCCCAGGTTGCTGTTCAGCGATGTGGCCGCAGCAGCCTGTAACGCCAGTGTTCTGACAAACAGAGCTGAATCGGATAAAGCATACAAATCCTTAGTGAGCCGAAATGTGCATTATACTGATATACAAATAATGCCTCAAGAGGTGGCAATTTTGAAACTGAAGTTTGATTTGTTTTGGACACTTACACATCTGACAACACAGATACAAAGGGCTTAGTTTTATTGCCACCCATGTACACGCAATCGATCCGTGAAGCAACCAAGCCGTCATGCTTACTACCCAAATGACGTCATTTGACGCATTATTATTACTTTATTTATTTATTTATTTATTTATTTAAACACCAGGAGTTGAAGCACTGTGGGGAGGTGGGTAGAACTGAGATAACATGGCGGCGTTGACATCACAGCAAGTTCGCAAATTTCAAGCTTTATCTTGAAATATTTGATATTTAAAAAGCATGAAGCAAATCAAAACCATGCAAAAATACATAAAACAATGCACAAAGTACATCCATTGACTATTTCTACGGGAATAACAGGCATTGTTGTAATTCTGCCAATGAATTGATATTAATAGGCCTGAGACAAGGCAAATGCAGTTGGGTCTGCAATCCACCAAACCTTAGAGCTTGTTCGAGCAAAACTCGGATTGAACATGAGCAGCCGATCCATATGACGGCATGTTCGTGAACCCAGGTAAAAGTAGAGTTAACCAATCGAATTAAGCCAAGCAGTTTGAAACCAAGTCATTTGACCAAAAAGTAGCATCCGTCCCAGAGGTTGTTTACAGAAGTTTTAATTTGCCATCTCTAAATACGTTGTATGTCTCTGGTGCAGCATAATGAAGATGGAATTGAGCGTAAAGAAAGATCTCATTTCCGCCTAACAAAATTTTACTTTTATCCCTTTTGAAATTATTTAGTTGCAGTCTGAAACCTCTAAGACTTACAGCACAGAATCTTACCATTATCTGTGCCAAAGTTTATTGTAATCAAGTAAATCAGGGCAAAATTAAAGAGGAATGTCTACGTGGCTTCTCCAAGTGGCCATTCGGGCACACTTTGGGCATTGTGTGCCATTGGAGGTTTCTCAGATACCAAACTGTAAAACTTATTTAATTGCACTTATATGTCACAACAGAAATCTAATTAGAATCATTTTGAAAATTTTTTTTGATTGTGAATTTTTTTTATTGCAACCAGTCCAGAATACATTTTCCCATTCAAAGAAAATACATACAAAGAAAAGGAAGTTTGACTCCACTGGAGCAGATTTATTTTCAATAAAACAAGCAAATAAACGAAACTATAAATACAAAGATAAGGTAAAAATGGTTAAAAAAAAAGTAAAAACTTTTTGGAAGCATAGTTCTTTCCACTGCTCAACAAACCAGTGCAACATCAGTAGGGATTGAACCCAAGTCACCCAGGCCAGCGCCTTAGCCAATAGAGCTACCTGGATAGACAAGCGGCCCGCACTCACATTGGAATTCTTTCTTTTTATATATATATATATAAATTTGGCATCTCCAATCCCACCCGAATCTGGAATGCCCAATTGGTGAACTATGTACAAAGCTTGCTCGTATTCGACCCCTTGCTGCCAACTCAGGAGAGCGAAGACAGTTCACGGCTCTCCTCCGAAGCACGTGCCTGTCAGCCACTGCTTCTTATACACTCATTGGTTGAATCTTCGCAAAGTTCAGAACGAGGCGGAGGATACCCGGACTTGAACAGACTTAGAATCTTCCTGACGAGCGCCCGTCTGGCCAACAGGAGGCGCTTGAGCAACGAACAAAGCTGTTTTTTTTATTTATTTCCCTTTTCCCGGCAGTCCCTTCCCAATTTGAAACCCTGTAGAGCGATGGCCAATTGTGCGCTACTCTGAAAAAGCTGCCGACCACTGCCGGTTGGTACGACTGGGGATCGAACCCGCGACGCGATAGACACTTCTGCACTACAACGCAGTGCCTTAACCGAGTGAGCTATCCGGCAGCTCTCACACTGGAATTCTAAACAGTGAGTCAGCATAGCACGTCATGTACCCTGGTTTCGCGCTTGTAAAGCAGCGCTCTCATTAGTACTTGCGTGTAATGGCGCCAGGATTCTCAGTCAGATGCAACTGTGAAGACTACTATGAAAATGGCTGCTGAATATTTTGTGGATAATTATAGTGACATTATCAACAAGCAACCGGTTTTGAGACTGTATTGCTGCATTCATTCGTGTGCACTTTGAGTAAATGTGTGTACTGGCGCATGGATACCCAATTAGATGCACCGGGAACGCAAGGCTCTATCTCTGGCTAGGTTTATGCTATTAAGGTGGATGAGGGCTCGTTGGAAATTTCAGAGCCCATGGAATCAAATGGCCACCCCCAAAGTCAAATTTATGGCATCACAGGCCAATCACAGAGAAGAAAATACATGCATGAATGTGGAAAGATCAGGGCCTGATCTAATTGGAGGCGGTGCCACGTAAAAAGAAACACGCATGGAGACTGGCAGATGTAGTTCCAATTTAACACGGACACATTGGACTAACAACAGCCAGTGCAGATTTACCCTCAAACACAGTTTTTTTAAATCAGAAATACAAAATATCAAAGGAAAGAAAATTTTTTTGCTCAGTGCTCTAGAATGTCAAGTGTATGCCTGCTGTTCTTTGAGTCTGGTATCAGTTTAAAATGACAAGGCTTATATCGTTGGATTCTGTGGGCTTTCCTCTTTCATTTAATGAATCATTTGTATGCCTAGCACAAAGTCTGTAGAAATACTAGTGATCGAGTGCTGATATTATTTTATCCTATGTTTTTCCACATGCTTATTTACTTGCTTGGTGCTTGAATTGTGTTCGGTTGAGGTAAAAATGGTTAACATTAAATTTTTACTGAGTTTTTTCTCATTAAGTGGTTATGCCGCATGACGATGTTGCTATGAGGAAACATGGTATATTTATTA